CATGGAGGATACTTCACGAGGGACCCACCAGGCGCTTGTCTGTGAGAGCATGTGGGGCAAGCTCCCAAAACAACAAAATCAACGGAGGTGTTTTCATTGGAGTCGCCATGTCATCCACCTCATACGTGTATGCAACATGCAGGAATTTGGGACTGGTGTTTCACTTTTTCCGATCACGGGTCCCCTTTCATTCATCTCCATCCCAGCCCTCAGGGCCTCATCATGGCTCGGGACAATGCCATGAGCTGCAATGGCGCCCCGAGCTGCATCAGTGCACGAGCACGCCGTGGCTGGTGCGCCCGTTCTGCCTCTGGTGGCCACGGTTTTTGGAGGATGCCTGGTGGCCATCCGCGTGGAACTAAGGAAACAATGGCCTGGAATCTCCCACCAGAAGTGTTGCCAATTGTGTGGTTTCAAGCCTCAAATTGGGTCGGGATGTTTGAGAAAGTCATCAGATTTGGCGGGGTTGTTTGGGGGGGGTGAAGACGCCACCAAATACAGTGAGATTGTCTGATGGCATGTTCTCATCCTGGGCTGCTTCTTCTTGATTAAGATGCCAACCAATTAGTGGTTCCATGGGGTATGTTCTTTCAGCTGCGCCGGTCTTCCGTTTCCAGAGGCGTAAGCACCCACTTGTAGGATCATCTACAGTATATACCACCGCGTCTCGTCACTCGTCGTGAGCTTCACGTCAGTCATCATCAGTCATCCTACTTCAACGGTCTGGGGAAAATTCCCGTGGATCTCCTGGGGATCTCCTGGGGGGGTCCCAAACACTGGTGGAAATCCGCTCACGAGTATCCGCGTCACCAATCCGCTGGCCCATTCGAAGTAGATGGCCATCAAGGTGGGACAGCTGTTCACTGCCTGCCTTGGAAAGGTGACCGGCGTCTTTCAATCAGAAGGGATTTTTGAACTGGAGAGTGAGTGCAAAGAGGGATCGTGAAGAATATGGATCAAATGCATGCCTCATCCCTCTCACATGCCAGAAATCATGATGACTTCAAATCGATCAAATCAGAATCATCATGTGACTTCAAACTGCATGCCTCCGTGAGGATGCAGTGCCACAAACGCGCTGTGTTCGAAGAAGTTGGCTTCGGGTGGGTTCACCAAACTGAAACCGAGGCACCTTCTGCGCGGATTGCAAGGGCACATTCATCCTATGTTGAAAAACTACGGTAGTATGTTCTGTTCTCTCCACGTTCACCCGTAGCTCAAGAAACAAACATGTAGTAGATCCCCTTTGAAATTCACCTCCGGTCCTGGGTGGCCCGGTTCTATAGTATAAAACGGCGCCACCCAGCTTCGGGACACCTAGGTCCTTATAGATACCCCGTTGTACTGGCGTCCGGGGTCAGTACCGGATAATTTCCAGGGACTGACGGGTTTTTAGCCAAAACCGGTGGATAAATTTGAAGGCCAGAGGGCCAACATAAGGCCCCCCCCCAAAAAAAAGTACACAACCAGTGCAGATAGATAATTTTGAGAAGGCCTGAGGTTAGCAAGCTAGACGAATAGGATCGAGGAACCCCCCCCTCAAAAGTAGATGATAATCGACAAACGAGACAAAAAGAAACGATCCCAGGCCCAGGTTTTTTTCCAACGCTCTATGTGCTCTGTGGTGGTCCGCAAAACTAAGGATTGTTGCGGAAGTCTGCAAACCTTAGAAGGTTGGTTGTGGTTGTGGTTGAGGTTGGTTTGGAATCAATGGGTCCAACCACTTGCAAAAGAATGTCGATTGCATGGCCCGCAGTGCTGGTCGAACTGTACATTTTGGCCGGTATTTTGTGGACTTGACAGCCGCTCTGGACTTAGGAATGCCAGCGGGAGTTTATCAGGGTTACGATGCCCAGAGCGACCGGGAAGCAGCTCCTTTGTTGAACGGAACTTCTGCATTGAAATTGTTTTGTCCAGATGTCAGCGCACCTTTTTTTTATATTCGCTGCTGTTGAGCAATTTTTTGAAAGCTCTCCAGACCTAGCAGAAGCAGCAGAAGAAGATTAATTTCAGCGTATCCCACAACTTGTCATTTGTATATCTCCCCAACCTCAGTACCAAGGAAAATATCCAGGTTGTTTTTAGGACGCACATGTTTCACACGTGTCCTTTTCACAGGCTGCGAATCTCATGGAAGACCTGGTGCAGGATCCCGATGAGGAAGACTATAACATGAACCTGGATGAGTGTGAGGCCTCACCACTATTTTTCAGACTCCTCACGTCGAAACACAGGGTCCCACTGAGAATGATCCAGAGCTGAAAGGTGCTGACCAAGAGTGCTTCCAGCTGTTGGAGCAGTTGAAAGCCCGCGGTGACTGATGCTTTGACGTTCCGTTGGCAAGTTTCGCCGACAATTTTTTGGTTCTCTGTGATCATGACGTCCATGGAGCTCGGAAAATCTAACGAGCGGAAATCTAACGAACGTCCAACGAGCGATGTTCTATCTTTTCTTTCCTTTTCTACTCCCACTAGCGAGTGGATAAAATTGGAGCGTTTATTCTGGATATTTTTGATGCACTGACCCCATTTTATCCACCCCCAAAAAATATTATCCACTCCTTACTTGGGTTGATTTTTTTGGAGGACAGACCCCCTGGATAGGTTGCTGGCAGGCTGGCACACAGATAAAGTCCAGGCACTGACCCCTCCAATTTTATCCACTCAGTACGGCCCCCTATCTTATAGAATCTGAGGCCTGAACAAACCGACATCACTATAAAATCAAACCCCTTAGTCGGAAAGGCAACCTCACGGACAGTAATCGGAAAAAGTCCGATCGCTAAAGAATCACACCTCCCATCTTCGACAAAAAAATAACATCAAGATAACCAAAAATCCTGTGATTCTATAGTGGCCAGAGCGTTTTCCGATCTGTTTGTTATTTGCCTTGTCTGCACCCATCCAAAGATCATCCACATAATTCCAGGATATTGGGATATATTGGGCAGATATTGTCATCAACATCCACCGCATCGAGCATCAAGGAGCTTATAAAATCACAACCCCCATGTGACCATGCAGAAGCTCACGGACAGTTACATGAAATCAAGGTACCACTATATAATCTGACATCCCAGCTCTAGTACATCAAGCTCACGGACAAAGCTAGCTAAAACGCTGTTTGTCTTAGAATCAGAACACCTAGGAGACTCCGTTGTATAGAGAGAAATTCTTACTATAAAATGGTCATTTTCAGTACCCAGGTGACCTGATTCCATAGAGGAAATTCCAACCGGGATTGTAGTAGGCTGTTCCGGTGACCTGGCGAAGTCTCCCACTTATATAACTCTGCTCTAAAGGCTGAAACCCCAAAAAAGACAACTCAGCCCAGCTGAGACTTCACTCGCGCAGCTGAGGAAGAAAGGAAACTGATATTTGAGTGCTATATGGTGTCATGATCCCCAAAGGTGTTGCTCTGGTTTTTGTGGTCTCCAGAAGCTGGATTTCTCACGGACTGTGGAGACTGCATCCACTCCAAGAGCCTCCGTCCATGAGGTCCAAGCCGCGGAAAGGGCAACCCAGCTTGACCCTTTACAATGCTCCGCAGGAAGGCCAACTGCACGCACAAAGCCCGAATTTCGTAGCCAGGAGCCTGTGCGTCCAGAGCAAATTCCCGCCTAGGCAATGAAGTGCGGACAAAAAGCAACCGATTCCCTGCCCCTTTCCTCACAATGGGTCAGTCTAATTCGGAGCCCCCTCTTTTTTGGCCCGACAAAACCGCCAAGAAGGAAACTGTGATGGCAAGCGTCTCGAGTTGAAGCACTGCGGAGTGCAGCCGCTGCCAAAACGTTGTAAACATGTCTGGTATTTCATCCAAATGTGGACAGAACGTGCTCATCGCTCCTCCCACAGGGCACAGCAAAGTCGGCTGCAAAATATCCAACACTTGTGACTTGCTTCAGCTGCAGCAGCTGCAGCAGCTGCCACCATCAAGTCGTATTGGGTAACCTGAAACCTCACGACCTCTGTTGGGTTGGTCTGGGGGATCTGAATGTTGCGCGAGTCATCACGCCGGTGCAACATCCTGCCTACGGATGAAAGGTCTGGGAGCAGATGCGGGGGGGCAGTTACTGTGGGTTGCGCAAATGTCCGCCGAACATCTGCAGGAAGCTGCCCTTCATCTTTGGAGCGTGTGAGCGGTGGCTTGAACTTCGAAATGACCTGTAACGCTACTTGGCCTGGGGCCGTTCTGACCTACATTGCTACATCATCTACATCCTTTGTTTCACATCCTTGATCAACCACCAGCGCTCCTCGCACTTCTTCGTCGACCTCACCACCAGCATCGCCCAGGGCTGCCGGCAGAAGCTGGAGCACCAGCCGCAAGACTCCCCAGGCCATGCCGGTAAATCAAAGACCTCGCAACCTCCTGGAGGACTGGAGGCCGAAACCGGCCATGCATGGCCCAGGAGTATGGATGGGGCGCCTCCTTGAGCCATGGCTGCCAGGCGGTCTGAGATCTGGCAGACGTCGAAGGATTTAATCTGCCTTGATGAAACGTGATGAGTGGAAAATGGTCTCCTGTGCACTTGTAGGTGCATATAACACAAATACAGGGAGAGAGAGAGAGAGATATATATATATATATGTGTATATACAAATTTATACACACCCAGTGCACCTATAAACTCTAGAATACTGAGCGCTACTCTCCAACAAAGTAAACAGCCAATGTGCTGATACGTGCTGGATCGTGCTGGTATCTTTTTCGTCTGACCATCTTCTATTCCACGCGTCGAAGTGTGTTTCTCCGGCACATAAGGTGCCGATCCAGGTCCATCGATCCCATCGATCCCATCGCCAGCCAGACCCGAGTCCAATCACCCGAAGCTGGGGTGAGCCATCAGCTCTGACTGAGCTGCTCCAGTGTCACTTGGCCACGCCACGTGCCTGCATCTGCCTGTTCGATGCCTCCATTTCGGTTCAAAAGCAGGACCATCGCACTCGACTTCAACGGTGGCCCCCCGCTCTCCGCCGCGCCCTCCGCTCTCAGCAGGTTTAGCCAAGGGCAGCTTCCAGGCGCTGCTGCTCCTCGCGGAGGAAGTGCTCCTCCTCAGCGCCCAGCGGAAGCCCCTGCCGCAAGCGCTGCAGCAGCTCGGCCACCCGCGCGCGGGGCTGCGGGCCCCGCGGGCCCTGCGAGTGCCCGGGCAAGGTGAGGTTCAGGGAGTCCAAGAAGGTCACCTCGTCCTGTCAGAGTGGCTTTAAGTAGACCACAAGGGTGAGCCACCCTGAGGTGATATGAGGTGGCCACCTCACAAAATGTGGTTGTCCCACCTCAGTGGAGCTTGTGGGAGTCTCTTTTGGCTTTTTTGAGACTCCCCCGCGAACGCCGCGGAATGCCCCAAGCCTTCGAAAGCTCCAAGTCCGGCAGTCCAGGCTGAGTGCAGGTGATCGACTGAGCGAAGAGGGCGTTCAGCGCCTCCACTTCATGCGTGTCCAGCTCCCCGGTTGAAACCAGCGTCGTGCACAGGCTCAAAAGCTCTCCTTCGCTCCAAAAATCGCTCCAAACATGTTGAAACGAGTTTGACCGTTGGAGGCCTATGGCCTATTCATGAAGCTCAATGGTTCTTTTCAATTGCTTCAGCTGGTTATGAAGTGCCAGAAATCACAAGACAATGCATAAAATCCTTAGCCTTTGGTGCAAAGGCGTGCGCCTGTCCTTGTTTTGACTGGGCATGTGGTGTGGACTACTGGGAAGGAAAGCAAGGACAATAACAGCACCACTGTAATCACTGGAATAGTTTTCTTATTTTGAGGGAGCTGTCTTGTTCCCCAAAGGGGAGTAGCGTCGACCTATGACTAGACTTGACCCTGACCATCTAGACAACTGGGTTTGTATTTTTTTAAGGTTCCCGGGCCGGGATGTTTGACTATGGGTATGCTTCGGAGGTATGCTTCGGGGGTATGCTTCGGGGTATGCTTCGCGCAGTGTGAAGACTAAAGTAGTAGCATTTTCAGAGGGTATGCTTCAGGGTATGCTTCGGGGGTATGCTTCGGGGTATGCTTCGCCTAAGTCGAACATCCCAGCCCTACAAAAACTGGACACCTTAAAAAGAGACAAGCCCACTCCCAAATTGATCGATAAACTGACTGCACAAGTAGCTAAATATGTTCCATTCCAAGTGCATCATGTAGTTCAAGCTCAATACTTCAATTCAGTACTGATCTCATCAAATTCAAACAGCATTTTGGACTAAGACTATGACCCTGAACTGTTCGAAGTAGTCAGTGAGAATAGGAAATCCCTTGCTTAATCACCCCAAAGTTCTCCTAAGGCCACATCCCTTGCTTAATCGTCTCCTCTTCGCACATCACCGACGTTCACATACTCGCACGCCCGGCGGACGATTTGCTGCAACCGTTCCGCACGCTGGGCACGTGCCGCCTCCGACCGGGTCTCAGAGCCCAGCGCCCCACGGAAGGCCCTGGCCTCCCAGCAGCGCTGCTCCTGGTGTGGGCCGAGTTCCCAAGGTTTCCACAGGAACAAGCCCTCCCTAGAACATGTGCGTGCAAGGCGAGCAACTGATGGAACATGTTTGCAGATCAACGGTCCAAAAACAGGTCAAAGAGAACCTGAACATACCGGAATCTCAATGACCCCTCCAAAGAAAGAACCCGGACCTCTCTCTCGCCTCTCCACCTAACTCCGCTGGCCTTCACTTTCTCGATGGCTTTCGTTAGCTTCTGCCGGATCATGGGATCCTTCGGCGCCTCGCGCAAGGCCTTCTGCCACATCGGCAGCGCCTGAACGTCCAAGCCCAGGCCCTGCGGAACGGGGCCGGCGTCCAGGAATTCAGTAGTAACAAGTGCATCGCTACTAGTAACAAGGGCATTTCTAGCTAGTTAGTAGCTGGAAGCTACTAGTAACAAGGGCATCGCTACTAGAACCTCAGAACCTGTCTGGGGCACAAAGGCATCCAAGAATCTGAGAGATCCAATGGTGGAAGCCATCCCAAATCAACCAGGGCCCCTTCTTCATCCTTCTTCCACCTCTTCACTCTCCCAGCCTCTAGGGCTAAGGCCTTCCGGTAGTAGGCCTTGGCACTCTTCTCCAAGCTCAAGGCCTCCTCTGCATTCTCCAAGGCTGCCCGGTAGCGTGCCGCCTCAATGGAAACCGAGTTCCATTGGCTTCACTGGTTCAATCCAATCGGAAGAGGAGAACCAACAGATCCAACAGCTCACTGAGGGGATCATAGGCATCTACATGCCCCATAGGTCCCGAATGGTTGTGAAACAGCACCCAGGCCCCTGCAGCTGCAGTGTTTTGCAGTTGAAAAACGTGTTGTAAAGACCAGCCCGACCAGTTCGCCCGACCAGTTCGCCCGACCAGCTCGCCCGACCAGCTGCGCTCCAGCCTTCAAGTTGCACTGCGCCAGATTCAACAAGGCCCCACAGCTCAGCCGGTGGTGCTCCGAGGAGAACTCCTTTCGGCGCCAAATCGGCCAAACGGGGTGGTTTCACCGGTTGTTTCATCACGTCACGGGAAGCAAGTCACATGAGTTCAAGTCACCCAAGTCAACCCTATCAAGACATGGCAAGAGTTTCTTGCCAACTTGCTCACTTGTTCTACATTATTCTACATGCGTCTTTCTTGTGGGGTTTTCCCTCAACTTGAAAGGTTGGTCCACTGTTCCTGGAAGGTCTCCCTGAGAGGCAACGGCATGGGACCAGGAATTGGCCCACGAAGTGCGTGGAGCTTGTTGAGTTCATCCAGCGCCAGTGCGAAGCAGCGCCCGCAGTGGTCGAAGCCCGGAAGCTCCTGGAGGGTGATTCTTGATCGGTGCTGAGGGTTCGGAAGAATCAGTGGTAGAAGAAGTGAGGAAGCTGCGTGAAGAGGGAACTTCTGGAAAAAACAAGTGGACTCTTGACTTGAGGCTGATTTGATCCTCGGAAGCCTCTCATCCGCTCCTCTGCCTCAGCATACAAGGCCCTCCCCTTCTCCATATGAGTCGCAGCATCCTTCAGATGAACCCTGCAAGCATCGAAGAACTTGGTCATTGGGACTTCTTCTTCCCGACTCTCCACCAAATCCTTATGCTTCCCTCGCAGGCGTGGAGACCGCAGGAAACGTTCGCGGTGGCTTTCCTGTTGTAGCCAGAGTCGACCTGGCCAAAAGTGAGTGCCATTGCGACCATAGCACGTCGGTTTCTAAGCTGTCCGGAGAAACCAGCAAAAGTTTCTCCCTTTAAGCGTTAGCAGCTTTGGTCAGGCTTCAAGATCTCCGCTGGCAGCGGGAGGTTGGCTATGGTCTCTTCTAGGTGCTCGTTTTCCTCCTGGTCACTGTCCTCCAGCTGCTGCCATTTGGAATAATCCACCTACCGAACGGCCAAGGAACTGTGACGAGCGTCAAAACAACGACCATGATGTTGAATTTTTGGCAGCCTTCGACCACGTCGACATAATCAGTTTGGATCGAATGCATTTTGCCTTACCAGCTTGGCGTCAACATACAGTCAAACCCTCTTCCAAGCTCTGGCCATTTCCATCACCCCTCTCTCGCCCTCCCAGGCCTTACCGCTGGGCACCGACCCTTCCCTGCTCGCCGTGGGCACCGCCGTCACGCCCGCGAGCAGCGGCACCATCGGCGTCGGCGCGGCCGCTGGACGCGCAGCGCGGCGCAACTGGACCGAACGCCGCGAGGCCAAGTTCCTACGGAGCTGGGCTGCGAAGTCCACCTCCACTGGGACACCCGTGGCCAAACGATAGGAGACCACCTGGCGGAACAGGTGGGAACTGGTGGAAAGTGAAACAGAGTGTTGGGGTGGTTCCATCTGCGCCAGCATTAAGTCGGCATAGTTTGGTTTAAATTGAATTATGGTTTCATCTATCTTTCAGTCTGCCCACCTGGTTCCCGCCCTCCTGGTAGGAGTTCCATGCCTCCTGCAGTAGCGCCTCCTCCTCACTGCAAACCTCTACCCAGCCCCGTCGTGCGTGTGAAAGCAGCTGCCATGGCATTCTGCTCTGGGCTACTCACAGCCACGAAGAGCCACTCACAGCCACGGTTTGGATGAGCTGACACCTTGGAGGTAGGCTACGCTGAAAAGCCTCCCGATCACGAATCTAGCAGCTAGCAAATATAGCCAGTGAACATAAGCTTGTCAATCGGAGATTTATCCACGTGTCTTTCAGGAGGTGGAGTGACAAAAGTTGAAACATGTTGAAACCACACATCGGCTAGGAACAAGTGAGAACAACTACGCGACAAACAAACCCAGCACGAAACCAGTTCCCATTCAGCACTCTCAAACACAAAGCGGGCACCTTACCATGCGCAATGTAAGCTACAGTCACGTCTCCTTATGTGGCATCGTCACCCTCCCTAGCCTTGGCACATGCGGCTTTCATGGATGGTTTTTGCAGCTCATGCGATGGGCCCAGGGCGGTCCTCTTCGAGGTCCTCCTCCGTGTCATCCTGCTGTAAACGATCTCAAAGATCATTATATCCAATGTCTTTCCGATGCTTGAAGGCGAAAACATCGCTACAACAGCTTGAAGCATCCCAGAAGTGGGGTCTACGGGCGCCGTTTTGGAAAGGACTGACATGGATATGTGCTGGAGTTGGTCCACTTTGAGATGTACCTGCACCATCCGGCACGGTCACCCACAATGTTGTTCAAAACGGTTCACCCTCCAACCAATGTTGCATTGCTGGGGCGCCCGTCTGCTGATTCTTCAAGAATAGTTTGAATAGTTCCCATCTGTTTATATGGGTTTGGCAGGAATCAACGAAGCCTCATGTTTCTTGAATCTTTGAGACCCAAGATGCCTCGCTCTCACCGCTGCTCTCGTCCGTGCTCTCGCCAGTGCTTGTGGCTTCGCGGGAGCCTGCGAGCCGGCGTCTTACAGGGCGGACACTGATGGGCATTTGGGGATTAGCCTCTTTCAGTCTCAGCTTTAAGCTCTGCAAAGCATCCAACAAAAACGGGAGAAATGTGAAATCACTTGTAAGGCAAGCGGATAGGAGAGAACATGGACTCGCATTCTTTCAGCCGATGAATGCGAGTACCAGAGATTCTCTGGTGGCACCAGCCCATGTGGCCCCTGGAGGCTGTGGAGTGAGATGCAAAACCCAGCCACTCGCACCATCAACAAAAGGAGAGACTCACTGCTCTTCGACACTAGCCACAACACACATCTTCACTTCGTCAAGAAGGGCGGCTATACATGAAGCAGGTGGCCGACACCCAACATGCACATGTGGAGCAACCCACATACGTTCTTTCCTGGCAAACTCCTGCTCTTCGTTCTCTATCAGATCATCGTGCTAGCTGTCACCAACGCCAATACGGCGCTCTTTGCCAAGAAGACTTTGAATGGTCCCCTGAAGAAAGACACCACACAACAAAGCACGTCGTGCCGAGGTGATGAACAGGCTCGGCGACCATACTCATGAACACTCCTTCCTGGAGGGTTCAATGCCAGGTTGGTCCACAAGAAGAACTCTCTTCGTGGAAACCTCTTAGCCAACCATGCCAGCAGCTCTTGCCGCAAGCACATCACCCCAGTTGCCTACGGACCGGAACTATGCCTTCCCGAACCGAGATGACGGCCCAGAACGGAAGAAGACCTTGCTTTGATGAGCATCGGAAAGGCAGAAGCTCTTCGTGCGGCAAATTGGGCAATCCGGCACCGGTTATCGGTGAGCTTCTTCAGGGTGGAGGCACGAGTCAAGACCTAGTTCATGTGGCAGCAGAGTATCGCTGCAACGGCATTTGCCTGATACAAGAAACCAAATCAAGTGCCACCAGCCAAGCCCCGAGTGCGACCGTCAACCAGGTGGTTCAGTCCGATGTGATGTGGAGCTTAGAAGGGTGTCTTCTCCCTGCCTTGTGCAAGTCACACATCATTCCACAAATACAAGAATTACATCTCACTGCATTGCACTACGTTACATTGCATTCCATTGCATTGCATTGCATTACATTGCATTATACTACTACATGTATGCACTGATACTTCGTAATGTATCTGTCCTATTTTTGCCTCGTCTGCCGTCTGCAAGGCACCGACGCAGGACGATGTCACTATCTTTGACAGCAACCATGTTGTGCAGCAACCAGCACCGCCAAAACAATACTGTGCTGCTTCTTGAGGACATACCATCGCAAAATGCTTTGTCAGATCACTGCAGGTGAGAAACCAACTTGCGCCTCGACTCCGGCTCCGGCTGCTGAGCTTGGTGCCTGGCGACCAGATACAAGGCAGAGAATGTTCAGTGAGTTGTATCGAGTCGCTTTGGCAGCAGTTTCAGGCAAGGCAGAGAGTTTCCCCCAAAGACTTCGAGGGTGCATTGTAAGCTCTTGCAGTTCTTGCAGCTCTTGCGGGGCGTGAAAGCCTTTTGTGTTGGTGAGGAAGCGGAGTAGGTTCTCTTTGGGGTCGTCCGGGGCCCTGTGATACTGGGGCGAAAGCAGTTTTCCGATGAGAGCGCCCCACTTATTGAATCTTCCCCCCCCAAAAAAAACATCTGATTGGCTTGCTCATTCTGGACTTGCCCCCTCTGGTCTGACATGTCTCATCCTGACAGTGACAAAGGCCATTGCTATTCGCTGAGCGCCCCGCCGCTGCGGCCCATGACCTTCCTAGCGCGAGCGCTCCGCCAGGTGACGAGGCACGTGGCGCCGGTGCGGGCGGTTTGATCATTCAAACTGGAACATGCGTGGCTCATGGGTTTCAGTACTGCACGTGTCACTCATGTGCAAATCACAGTCGAGCGGATCTGGAATGGCCGATGCTATGCACATGGTTGTTGGGAAACTAAAAGGCTTGGAAACCGATGTCATTTCGTTGCTACTTCCCAACAGTGAAGCGTTGAGGTCTTCAGCCATAGAAAGGATTCCGAAGCAGTCGGAGGAGGTTCCGGAGCAGGGCAGGTTCTGGAGCACGTTCCGTTGCAGGTTCCAGAGCCATTTCCAGAGCACTTTGCCGATATGCTGCTATGCTGGCATGCTGTTGCTGGCATGGCATCATGCTGGCATGTTGTCATGCTGACATGTTGTCATGACGTCAGGCTACCATGCTTGTATGGCGTCCTTGCCACCAACATGTTGTCATTTGGACATGCTACCGTGTAAGCATAGTGTCATGTTACATGTTGACTGACTGACATGCTGAGGTGTCATATTGGCGCGTTGTATGTAGTGCCGTCGCGTGGACGTGTAGACACGTTAACATGTTGTCACACCCATATGTTGCATTCATATGCTGGCATGGCGTCCAGCTGACATGTGGTCAGGTTGTCGTGCGGGCCATGCGGTTGTGCAAAGTGGGTTGCGGAGTGTCTCCCTGTCTCTTGACTCTTGCTTGTTGCGGCATTGGTTTGACATGCTATGCTGCTACGTCTATGCCGACATATTGCGTGTTGTGATGCTCACATGGCCGCATGGCACATTGAACAGGTTTGCACGTGTTTCAAACAAAATTACTTGGCAAAAGGCGCAGCACTTGTTGGTGAACTTGTGATGCTGCCGTTGCCTAATAGGCGGATTCATGGCCGGCTGTTGGGAATTTTTCTGGAGCATTTACTCTGAGTGGAGTGAGGTGTCATCTGGGGAAAGAGTTCTGAGCAAGAGAGTTTGCCCTTGCTCTGCGACTAGAGCGGGCAGCATTGAAAGTAGCGCCAATTCAACCATCAGGATCCGGACAAATAAAAAAACCTCCTTCGGCGATCTTTTAAGTCGATGAAGTCTCAGGCTCTGGCTGCAACCGAAGCAGGAAAGGTGCCTGCCAATTGAGAGGCCAAATGGGTCGGTCCAATCTGTGCATCTTATACACTGACCTGGCTGTGCTGTTAAGAAGAAAACTTCACACTTCTCTCAAGGAACCACTTGGCTGAAGCTTTACGACCACCAAGGAAAGCATTTAAGGGTCGCTTCGGGCAACATCCTTGTAGGCTTGTGATGAAGGAACCACCAAACAAGTCTCAAGTAGTTTTTTTTCATGCGAATCCTCTTGTTGGTATTGTCAACTGCCTCGTGCCCCTTACCTTACAAGCAGGACCTGCATACTCGATTCTACTGGTTTTTTTGTTCTTCCCTTCTCAGGTTGTCTCTATCGGCGCAGAGCGGACCAAATGCAGCTAAACTAAACCCATTAAGCTTATACTTCTGGGGTGTGCCATGTTTGGCAAGTTGGTGATGCAGAAAATGCTATACACAACAACTCACTTCACTGGCAGAAACAAACTTCAGTCTAGCCAACGCTGCGGCTGGCTTTCGCAATCCTGTTGCATTGTAGGGCTCCAAGCCACAAAATCCCCCTTTGGATGGTCCGTTTTCTGATTGTCACCTGTTTGTGATGTGGTTGTGCATCTCGCAGAACCCCGACGTCTCCACCTCGTCTTCGAAGACGGCCGCTTGAGCCAAGTCCGCGGCCTTGGATCGCTGGCGTCGCCCGAGGCTTTGGACCATTTTTGGGCGACTTCTTGGAGGCAGACGAAGCCAGGTGAGATTTTGCGGCAATTTGAGGTGCGGAGAACCGGGCAAAAACACATCCAACACTTTAAGTTTAGCAGGTTTTGGCCTGAGTGGGGCTTTGTAAGCATCTTCCACCTCAACTGTGCAAAGCAAGTGTGCATCCACAGAGGCGCAATTGTAGAGAAAGATTGCACAGGATTCCGAATGTGAATGATTCAGAAGTCTGTCTTCATCTCATGCGCTTTCTCGTTACGCACAATCGGATTGATGAGCTCCCCTGCCACAGAGATTTGTTTGCGATCCTCCACCTGCAGCACTTCTGCACCAGACCAGCGCCCTGCTTCCAGTGCATGACTGAAATCGCACAATGCCTCCGAACCCCCACCCACTACCCACTCTTCTTGCCGCTGCAGCTCCATCATTTGGATCGTCTTGATCCCGTTCACTCTTGCAGCTCATGAAGTACGGCGTCATGGACACATAGCCCTCCGCATCCAGCTGGTGCGCTCGCTGCCGCAGCAGCGCCACGTCCTCGGTGCGGAGCGCCGGCCGCGCGTCCGGCGCCGCGCTCGCGAAGAAGCGCGCGTCGCTGGCGTAGCCCCGCTGGCGACGCTGCAGGAGGTCGGGGAGGGCCAAGCAGTGCTCCGTGAAGTTCACCGGCATGGTGGCCTGCCGACGGTTACACCGGAGCACGTTTGTCTTGAAAGGCAGAAGCATGGAGAACCGCAGAAAGCAAGCGCGAGAAACATGGACAAGTCCACATCCAGGGTTTGCTCATGAAAAGCTAACCGCTAACCCCATCCATTCCAATTCCCGAAAACACCTGCAAAGGATTCTCTGTAAAGAACGGCCAACTTCAACTGTCCAACCAGCATCATCATCGTCGTCGTTACCTTATGCGTCATCTGCTGTGCGGGGCCACCCTCTCGTCCAGTTTTTCCCTCTCTACATCGATCGTTCACCCCCATCATCTAGCTCTCCCCCCATGCACCCCATCCCCATCCTTCAAGGTCTCCAGTGGCTTGGCCGGACAGGGCACCGAGAAGTGCCCGGCGCGGCACTGGCGCATCGGGTGGATCGCCGACTTCCGCAGACGCCCCAAACCATGCTGCAAGGTGCCAGCACCCCGCGGCACGTAGCAGCCGCGGCGTGGCGCATAGGTCGGGGTGCCTTGGACCCGGAGGGGTGGACAGAAGTGAAATGGAGCAAGAGGCGGATCAAAGTGGAAGCTAAAACCAGCCATCCAAGGCGCAGAATCGCTGGGCATAGACCGTTCGGCCCTTGCCAATGATGTACGTGCTGATGTCCAATGTGACGTCAGGATCTGCTCGGGTACACAACAACAAATCTTCCCTGGCACGGGTCAGCACTGTCGACCCATACTTCGCATCTACAGAGTACCGCCCAAAGCAGCTGTGCCACCCCATCTCTAGTAGCTTGTCATTCACCAGCCAGCGGATGTGACTCCATGCTTCTTCTGAAACGATGCCAACCATCACGTCCACATCATGGTCCACCACATCCTGCTTGCCATCAGATAGCGGCCCGCTCCGCAGACCATGCCTCATCAGCGCAATGAGGGTTCCACGACACGGCCACCATTCCAAACCCAGCTCGTCCAGCACAGCGCCGATGTCAGCCAAGGCCTGCAGACTGCAGCACCCACAACTCCGATTCCCGTGCTGATTCCTACAAGGATGGCCTAGCATCGCTTTTGGACAAACTACTTCCCACTGTTCTCGTGTGTTCGCAGGCTATTATATAACCTACTATATAACGCAACACGATGTCCGCACGCGTCTGGTGACCGGACGAGCACACCAAAATGTCATTGACTGAGGTTGAAGATGGTTGAAGCATATATGCATGACAACCGGCCCCCCAGGCGTGGACAAACCATCCTCCCTACCCGGGCGTGCGCGAAGTCGGGAACTACAAACGGCCGGGGGGGAAATATGGTTGGACACTGGCACTGACCGTTTCATGACATGTTCGTCTTACCTCAACCGATTGACCTTATCAAGCGAAATGCAGCGCAGCTCAAGCGCATTCAGGAACCACATGGGAAAAAAGTCGGAACCATTCCTGGCTCGTTTCCACGCGGCATCACGTCACACTATCAAACGCCAGCTGAGGCGCCTATGCATGAGCCCCATGGTGCTTCGGCTTCGACCAATACGCTTATCAATTGGCTGAATGTGGCAGTTGGCAAGGTCAGTACAAAGAAGCAACCGTTCCCACGGTGCACGGGGAAGGGGGGGATCCTCCACAAGAAAGGGAAGCCGCAACGCCAATGGGATCCTCCTGCGTTTGCTTTCGTAGCCATGTCCAAAAGGCACCCGACCAACTAGATAAACCATAAGGCTGACCTACTGCAGTCATTGATGAAGAAACATAAGGGACATTAGTTTCAACTTGGTAGAAGCAGGGCCTAGTGAATGCGGGTCAATGGAAACTCCAACCAGCAATGCGCCGTTAGTTTTGGAATGCAACAAATCGGCCGCTGCAAGCAAAAAAACACCTGCGTGCTGTGTGCCCACTAGTATATGTGTGTGCATCATGTATCCGCTTGCAACGCACGTGGAACGTAGATATATGATTTTAAGAATTCGCTTGACCTTTCGGCCACCACCCAAGAGCCTGACAGGGAAGAAGGAGAAGAAGAAGAAGAAAATAAAGAAGAAGGAGAGAAAGTGAAAAACACACCCAGCAAACTGGAAGTACTCTGTCTCCCTCTCTCTCTCTCACAAACTGTTGGAACCTGGCCCCGAAAGCACAGGTCAATCCTTATGGTTCCGTCCCACCTGTAAATGAGCATCGTCGGTGATCTCTTCGCGCGGCGGTCCTTCCATCAGCTGCCGCACCGCCGCGACCCTGAACTCTAGCCACTTCACCACGGTCTTGAGCCTCAGACTACGTGCGCATGCGTGCGCATGCGTGCGCCGTGACGAACACACACAGGAACATAGAACCCACACAAACTTCACACTGGCTTTCAAAGGCCACTCAGCAATAGAACTCCTCCCACTTGCAATTGAGGAAAGTCTTCGCGCGCATCCAGCGCCACGAGGCAATGAACACAGATACGGCAGTGGCAGCTAAAAATACAACCAGGTCCCACCACGACGCTGCCAAATGTTCCATGGTTTTGTGGCGATGCAACTGGGCCCTTCGTTGCACATGGCAAGGTCTGCGATCACTTTGCATGCTGCCATGCCATGTGTGTGTTCACAAAAATCGAGGAGTGGCCCCGCTTATGGCGCCCAGGTCGTAGCAGCGTAGCATTTTGCTGGGATGGACCAGCCTGTGGTCCTGAAACCGGTGACGTCTACAGGAGGGGGGGGCTCCCAAAAAAACAATTGTATTTACAGGATTTTACAGGGATCGCCGCCTGTGGCCAACAGTCGTGGTGTTATGTGGTATTTAGAGGCGTGACCCCCCCGCCGAAAGTTGTGGCATTTACACTAGTAAGCCCGCCCGTTGGTGGCTGTGGCCCTTCTTGGCACGCCATTAAGAGTGGCCCAGCGGCGGGGATCGGATCTGACCGCTGAGGGCAAGGCCGGAGGTGTTGTTGACTCCGCCCTCGCACCACCAGGGGCTGCTTCCAAACGGTGATTGTGAAGTCGCGCTGTGTTATGTCTTTGCGGCGTGCAGTGCTGCAGCTGTTGTGGTCGCACTGTACCAAGTAAGTGGTTCAAGTAATTGACTCTGACAGGGCCGTAGCACCGCGCGAAAAGAGGCTTTGGTCTGGAGGGCCCTCGTAGTACCATAACTGACGCGGAGTGACAGGGGACAACGCTAGCGATGTGACGCAAAGTTCTATACACACTCACGGAAAGATTGACACTGTAGCCGAACTCTTGACCCCAAAGCTAGGTCCATTTTCTGGCCCGCAAAACAGGGTCGTCCCTTTCTGGGACCATGAAACTGCACAAGTGCACTATATTTACTTTATAACTGTATATACAAATATAATTCGACCACCATGGGAGCTGGAATGATGATTCTTTTGGATCATTTGCGCCCTGCTTCGGGCAACACGGCGGCAACATGCTTGGGTGACTGTGCCATTCTGTGCCATTCTGCGCTACGAGTTTGAGTTGCAACGGAAACACTCAATGTGGATCTACACCGCGCCGCTACTCGTGTGGCCCATCGAACTGCTTGGGTTGCCGAGGGGCACACCGACGGCACTTTGCACGGGCCACGCTCGGTCACGGCGCATGCAGAGGTTGGCAGCCCGCACGAGAGCGTACTCATAGCGAGAAATGCGGTGGAAGTGCATATCGTGCTCCTCATTCGTACCTGCAAGTGAGACAAAGGAAGTCAAACAACGGGCATAGCTAGATAATGCTAGATAGGCATTTGCAAAAGAAATTATCCCCAAAAAAAGGGGCAAAGGGATGTGAAGCACATATCACATATTGCAACAAGGTTATCCTTCCTTCTCCGGAGGATGCCCCCTAACGGATAAGAAGGGAGGCCCGGTGAGAAGAGGCTACCTGCAACTACTCGCACTGCATCTCTTCCAATGGTTCACGATTCTGCCTGAGTGTGTCCACTGCCCAGTTGCTGCATGTGGTCGCTCAACCCCATTCTGATATATATATATATATAATCTCAGCTCTTAACCATGCCGATTCAATGCTCTTATCTCAACTGAAAGGTTGGGTGCATAATCCAACAACCCAAACTGGATGCGTCTACAAGTTCACACTTTCATATTCCCTCGGCTCCGACAAACCTGTTCACCAAAGCAGTATTGTTGATGGACCATCCTTGAAGTCCTCGCCTGGTGCTACAGTCAGTTCCTACCCCACTTTAGTAGGTTGCCACTGGATTTTCTCGGTGCGCTATTCATTTAACAAGATTCCCGACCTGACCTCTATGCTGGCGCATGGCAGCCCCAAATTAATCCAAGTTCAACTTCCAAACATTTCGACTAGCTTCGTGAGGTCACGACAGACTCAAACCCAAAGATTGCCGCATTCATCTCTCGCGGGGCTTGCACATCCTGGCTTCTTTCCCCCAACTCCAACCTCGATCCTCTTTCTCTGAAACCTCGCAGGATGAGAAGTGCCGAGTTTCGGATGTGTGGAGACAAGCTCACCTCCAGCAGCATGAGAAGCGCCGAGGCGGCTGCAAGGGCTGCTGGGCAACGAGCGATCAGCGCCTCTTGCCGAGCCCAGGCCTCCTGCGGAGCGCAGGAGTGAACGCCATCGGTGCGCGGCTGCATCACTCCAAATAAGGTCAGCCAAGTGTGTGTCAACCAGAAACCAGGCACTACACTACATAGCCTGGCGCCACACCTGCCCCGGGGTGGAGGCCCCCTCCCAACTGATTGCCTTGGCTAAGTCCAGGAGCGCAGTGTCTTCCTCTCCTGAAAGACCTGGAGAACTCATGGAAAGCGGGCACAGCATGGCACAGACAGAAAGCCGCGGGACATGGAAGGACCGTGTGCATGCCGCTCGAGCTACTAGTAGCTTCTTGCTACTATTGACTGTTGGTTCACCGGTCCATTCTCCACATTTCTCCACGCACATTGCGCATGTGAGCCTCGAGCAAGCCGGCTTCGAGAGAGCACCTGGAGCTGCGCCACCATGGCCCACTAGGAACTAAAGTGGGAGGTAAAAACAGGGACACCTGGCTCACCAGTATTGCATCTGCCAGTCATACCCCCAGGGAAGTCATTCGGAGTGGCACGATTCTTTGCGGGAAGCATCGGCGCCACTTCTGCCGATAGATAATGTCTTTTAACATTAGTCTGGCCTAGTGCCGTCAAGCAGGTGTTGAAACGGTCAGAATGAAGGCATTCAAGCGGGGGCGGTCTTCCCCAAACCAGCTCCAACACCCCTTCCCTGCAGAGTTTGGCTGTCTCACAGCTGTCCCACAATAAACACTCCGACGGACTAGCTGCATTAACCTAAGGCTAATGCAGCTCGCACAACAATGGGGGGGCTGCAAAAAGCAAGATGAAAGGCTCCAGCTCCAGCGCCCCTGCAACACACCTTCCCCACCTGGAGCTGCGATAGGTTCATGCCCAGCTCGGCCTGTGCATCTCGGCAGCCCGCAGAGAGCTGGCTGTGTGCCATCGGTAGAGCCACCAGCCCCCAGGCCACACCCTGGGCGGGAACGGTGCGCGGCGAGCTTCCACATGGGAAGGAAAAACAAAAATCCCAACGTGGTGACCAAAGCAATGGTCGCATAAAACATGTGCGAGTTCTCCAAACTCCCAGCTGCACACAAACAAAAATACCAAAGAAAGAGGACGTTGCATTTCTATATACATCCATGTCCAGACACCCACTTGTAGCGCATGCCCAGGGAGAACACCATGGCACGAGAGCGACCGGGCAACGCATGGCACCGCCAGGCAGGACCTCATGGCTCAACCTTTGATCGAGCCAAAACCATCGCAGCGAAAACTACGTCTGCGACACGAACAGGAGGCCCATCAGCGAGGAAAAGAAGAAGACCTTTTGTCATTGTTGAGGGAGAAACGATGTCCTGTGGTCTTTTGGAACAGCTTACCCGATCGGTTAGCATGTCACACTGTATGTTATCTCCATATGCGAAAAATCAAGGGGTGCTATCTTGCCTCGATGTAACAAGACAGTCCACAGTCCACATGAAAATGATAATGCGCACCAGACCCTACATCAGCAACAATTGCGTTTCCTGCTGGCGTACTGACGAAGTATACAACTTATACAGAACTGGGCGGCAAGCGTCTGAACGATGTGGAACATCCGGTACGTCACAAACCACACACTTGATGTTGAGCCAGAACAAAAGCTGTATAATACTTGCTCATACCAGAATTTGCTGGAACAGTCATCCTGACATCCAGGCATGAAGCGCCTGCCGATGAGCCGATGATCACCCCTCAGGTATGGAAAAGCATCCACCTATATATGTCGTGCTCCTCGGGACAGCACAAAATATTCAGTCCTTCCATACGTTATTGCTGGGTTCACCAACCCCCTGAAATTGGGGCCAATCGCGTGTCTTGTTTGTTCCCTGCCTAAATGCCCCAATGGTGACAAAACAGCCCATTGAACGCATGGAATCTTAAGGCCATTTTCTGGCAACGCGATGGCTAACGGGGCCAGGCAAGTAAGTGAAGTGATATAAGCAAAAACACTCGTTGTGTCAGCGCTGCCTCCAAGGAAAAGTTGTCTTGGGAAATTGTACGGCGATGAATTCATCGGGGTGGGGAGAACTCGTGGGAATTCGTCTTCGGAGAATTGGTCCGTCTGCAGGTGGAAAAGTGCTACCCCAGCAGCTGCAATGAAAACCTGGGGAACCTTGCTTGTGAGGTTTGCGGGTACACCCCGCACAAACTAAGGAGGAGGTGAGGCAAGCAAAGGAAGGAAAAGGAGGAGGGAAGGAAAGGAGAGAGAACGAAAGAGACAAGAAAGAAAGAGAAAGAGAAAGAGAAAGAGAAAGAGAAAGAGAAAGAGAAAGACAGACAGAAAGAAAGCAAGGAATGGAAAAGCAAGCAAGCAAGCAAGCAAGGACGGAAGGACTGAAGGACGGAAGGACGGAAGGACGGAAGGAAGAACTAGAAAGCTAAGGTTGAGACTGGTCCCAAATGAGTCCGCAAGTAGGCTTGGGCCGTTTGCCGCAATATGTCCAAAGGACTGGCTGTGAATGCTCGCTACGAGCTGTTGGTGGCCATGCAGCTTGCTCAAGATTTAGTTGACGGTTTGCCAGAAGGCTCCTGCGCCTGCTATAGGCTCTTTGTGTCATCATCACGATGGCACACTTCATCCACTGGCTGGGAGACACACTTGAGATTGAGCACGACTCATGGTCGGAATGCCACCTGCCCGGAGGATACCTTTGTAAAAGAGAAAACCTAAACCGTGCAGTTCAATCAATTCGTAGCAGCCTACCACCTTTGTGTGTAATTAATATATACACACACACATATAATATGTCGCTCCCTCTAGCTCTCTCTCTCCATGTCCACTTGTAGCGCATGCCCCAGGAGAACACCATGGCATGAAAGCGACCGAGCAACCCATGGTACCGCCCAGCAGGTCCTCATGGCTCAACCTTTGGTCGAGCCAAAACCATCGCAAAGAAAACTATTAGCCAGAAAACCTGTCGCACCCATCCTGACAATATCCGGGATATCCAACCTTTTTCTCTACAGAAGTTGCATCGCAGGTGCTGAAGTACGGCAGCATTGACATATAGCCAGCCTTCTCCAGCTCCACCGCTCTGTCTCTCAAGACTTGGACATCCTCAGCAGTGAGCCCCTCCGCCACCCACGAATCCTCCTCATCCGCCTGATCCGCCTCGCTCCCATCGCGCCGGGCCCGTCGCTGGGCGATGTCTGGCAGGGGCAGGCAGTGCTCGCTGAAGTTCCAACCCGGCATGGTCGCTTTCAGCACCTCGGGGCGAAGGTGCCTCCTACGGCCAAAGAAGAGACATAGTCCCAGTAATAGCGGTTGACACGTCCCATGAAAACTCTCCTGGTTCCAGTCATCTATGATGGTTAAAATGTTTAACATGATCGAACGTGATCACCCGTGACCTCCAGTGGCCGGGCCGGGCACGGCACCGAGAAGCTGCCACACTTGCAGCGCTGGAGCGGGTAGATCGCGGCGCGCGGCAGGCGGCCGCCGCGCGTGCGGAGGGTGCCTAGGCGGGGGATGTAGCAGCCCCAGTCCTGCCCCATGACATCCCCAACGCAGTAGCCTTAGCACAAGGATGCGAAACAGAACGTTAAAAGCATGTTTTACAGTCAGTGGTGTCTCTCTCTCTCTCCCTCTCTCCCGGTCTGAGAGAACTTCTCCCATTTCGGCATCCTGTCAGTTCCATTTGTCAGTCTAAACACCTGACAAGTCCCAGTTGCGCTGGACATAGATGCTTCGATCTCCAAGAATGTAGCTACCCATGTCCAGTGAGATTCTTGGATTCGTCCTGGTGCAAAGCAACAGGTCTTCCCGAGCCAGTGCGGCCTGAGATTTCTTCCACATCGCCCGGATTTGGACGGCTCGACGTGCTTGGCGCCAAGCACCAGGACTGAATCTCTAGGTCAAACAGGTAGTGCTTTTGCTCGATGTGTTCAATCTGGGGGACTCCAAACTTCCATTCAGCTGCTTGGCATCGGAAGGAGAAGAACAAACGGAAAAGAAAAGAATGAGATCCCTTGAAGGTTCCTGTTGTTTGGCAATTCCGGCTCCGCCAAGTGGCCTTCGGGTCTCCACTTGGAGCATCCACCGAAGTGCGAGAAAAGCAGTTGTCCCAGCCACGTTGCTCCAGCTTGTGGAGGATATTCCAGCGTACCGTTTGCCAAGCCTGGTCTTCGGCCCAACCCCAAAAAACCATCCAAAACCAATCAAAACCCTTCCGATCCAACCAAAGACAACATCCAAACGTGGCTCGGACCCTCCCGGACCTCCCGGACCTCCCCCACCTCGGGGCCGGGCAGTCACTTGCGCACTGGGAATTTCGGTCACTTGCGCACTTTGGGTCACTTGCGCACTTGGCATCAAAAATTTAGGTCACTTGCGCACTTACCTGCTTCCTAGCAACGGGTGGTGCTTACTCCACATGCAACTAGTGAATGGGTTGGGG